ATCTATATAACTGTTACTTGATCGTGTATCCTTCACTGACATACAGCTCGATGTCAAAACGAGTATAATATTTGTACAAAGTTTTTCTATAATTCATTCATACATCGTAAGCCAATAATTTTTATAAAATATTACAACGACGTGATTCATGAAGAAATATAACTGAACACATTTATTCTATGATTTATTCATTGTTGTTGTCATATTAGATGATGTTTAGAGTCTTCAAATTTGACACTGCATTGAAGAAGATAAGAGAAAACAGTTATGATTTGATTCAGTCATTACTGTTATCATATTATAGTATGTTTACAATGGCAAATATAAGAGTTCATCGAAGAAGATAATGGAATAATACAGTTTATCTGTGATTTATTTAAATGTTACTTGATCATATATCCTTCACTGACATAGAGTTTGATATCAAAATAAGTAAAATATTTGCACAAAATTTTGCTATAACTAATTCATATATCACAAGATGACAAATGTACCAAATTGGTAGAAGGGTATGATTGATCGAGAAATATAATTGAACATGTTTATATTAGGATTTATTCATCCATGTTGTGATATTAGACCATATTGAGAGATTTAAATTCGACACAATAGTGAAGAAGATAATTGAATAATGCAATTTCGGTATGGTTTATTCATTTGTTACTTGATCATCTAGTCTTTACGGACATATAATTCAACATCAGAATGAGTAAAATATTTGTACAAAGTTTTTCTATAACTAATTCATTGATCACAAGATAAGAAATATTACCAAATTGTTTGAAGAAAATGATTCATCGAGAAATATAATTGAACAAAATCATGGTAGGATTTATTCATTGTTGTTGTCATATTAGACCATGTTTAGAGTCATAAATTTGACGTTGTATTGAAGAAGATGATTGAATAATACAATTTCAATATGATTTATTCATCATCTGCTTGATCATATACGTTTTATTAGCATACAACTTGATATAAAAATCAATTAAGTTTTTGTACAAATTGTTCCTGTAGCTTATTCAGTCATGGCAAGGCGACAAATATTCGCGAACCTTCGAAGTGAATAATTTATTGAGAAATATATCTGAACCGAATCATAGTATGATTTATTCATTGATTCTGTGATATTAAAGTATGTGTAACGTTTGAAATTTGATATTGTGTTAGAGAAGATAATAGAAAACATTTATTCTATGATTTATTCATTGATATTGTGATATCTAACCATGTCGAGAGTTACAAATTTGACACTGTATTGAAGAAGATAGTAGAATAGTGTCATCTTGGTGGGATTTATTCACTGATGTTATGATATTAGGCTATATTTAGTTTATTCAATCCAGTATAGTAATGATAAAGATAATTGAATAATAGAATTTCGGTATGGTTTATTCATCTGTTATTTGATCATATATCCGTTACTGACATGAAACTTGGTATTCGAATTACTAAATTATTTGGACGAATTGTTTCTCGCCGTAAAGTTTATTCATCAAGCAGTCTATTTCGAATTTTTTAGAATTCGACCAGCTAACGGTTTATCTATGTAAAATAGTGGAACAGAATTGTAACCGTTGGTATTCGTTTATTACAGAAGGATAAATTACGCAAAATGACTTTTATACTATAGATGACAGAACTTAGTATTTGACTAATGTTTTATAACAGAGCTATTTATTCATGTGTGATTCAATATTCGTTTTGTAAATATGTAAGAAGCTGATATTGTATAGCGTTTAATTTTTGAATATGTGATCGTCATATGGTTCATTTGTGGATCATATAATGCCTAGTAGTGTTGCATTGTATAAGTAATGCAGTTTACACAATCTAATATTTGAATATGTAGTAGATATGATTAGGCTTGTTCATTGGTAGATGTTTATTGCTTGTTGGTATTGTATATGACTATAATCATAAGTAAGATCATATATATGAATAAAAACTTGACAAGAAGTAAGTTTAATAAGATCATCTTTATATAATAATAACTTGAGAGTAATTCTAATATTATATTTCATATATAGTCGTTTTTTTACCGAAATATCATTTTAGAGAGTTTATAATTTTGAACTATACATTTTTATTTTTGTAGGAAACGTTCAGTCCAATAATGGAAGTCGACAAAACAAATATTGGATTTCTGGCATAGACAGTTTTCATATTTTAATCAGCTTTCATATTCTAATCAATTTTCATATTCTAATTAGTTCTCGCAGTGTTTTTTTTACTCAGCATCTTTTTATTATTTTATCATTTTCAAGTATTCTAATAAATCATTTAGCTAGGTAGAAATTTTGTTTTAAAATATTATCCTTTCAACTTCCAGCAATTTAAAAATACATCCGTGTATTAATTAGATGAACATATCAGTAGTATATTTTAAAACCGTTCAAACGAATTTTATATCGTTTTTTTAGTAGTGTGTCGTATAAGACTCATATCGTATTAGTTATCAAGGATAAAAATTGTCTTCAACAGTTAGAACATATCGTAATACAGTTTTTATCCGATAAGGACGTTTGTACATATACATGTGTCTCCTCAAGCGGAACGATTAAGAAATAAAATATATCAACTGTATTTCGTCCTTGCAGTATAGCCTTCTATTTAATATTTTTTTTTGATTGATCGAAACCGCACATGAAAAAAAACGCATTTGGCCGTTGTGATCACTCAAGCATGTGCTTCACCTTTTTTTTTGATGATATGTAGTGACAAGCGAATATTATACGTTTGGTAGAGAAAGAAAGAGAACAGAACAAAATAGAATGTATTGATAATAATATTTTATTTTAACATTAACCAATACTGAATATATTTATATTGTAATGAAATTTAGTATATAAAAGCAATTCAAAATAAAGAAGTTAGTTTTTAAAAAACGAAAAATTGTCCTTTAAAAATTATTTACTTTTATTTTATATTAATATATTATATATTAAAAGCAATCATTTTTTGATATATATATAAAAAAAGGTGCAAGGTATTCTATTTAAAATACATTTTTTCAATAGATAATGATCCTTTTCAGATATTCTTTTTTTTTTAGTGTAAATAAATTATAGACGAACTATATTTTTTTGTTGTTGCTATTATATCGAAAAATTGTGTAAATATGACCTTGAAATAGTATGTATATATCACTATAGTATTATTATATGATTAATTATTATCATAAATAATTTAGTATTTCAAATCTTATTTAAAGAGTAGATAGTATTTATTTTTCTTGTTGTAATTTTCAACTTTATGTGAGATATAATTTATTTTCAACATGTAAGCGTATTATGTGTTACCGAAATGACTTCTGTATTGATTATTCAGAAGTATAGTAAAAAATTTTGTAAAATAAAAAAAAAGAAAACATGAAAAGAATGATAGTGCACTATAAGGCGAAAGAAGAATTAAAAAAACAGAACACAGAAGGTAGTTCTACTATCTAATAAATAACAATTTTATTTTGATATAAAACTCAGTGGTATTTAAGAATCATTTCATTTATTTACCAATAGATTATTTTGCCTATATGATTATAGTAAGAAATTTATCATAGCTAGAATTATAAGTCGACAAACATCTTTTGAGATCTATTATGATATTTATATTATACTCTAATAGAGGATATAGTTCCTAATAACAGAACCTTGACTATAAATTTTGATTTTCTATCATAAATACTATTCTGATTATAATATTTAGATAACGTGTATTTTTCAATATTTATGTATATGTAACCATTAACTTGAAATTATTCTTATTGTTATGTGATAAATGTGTTTAAAAGCTAGTTGAAATTTATATAGTATTTTGTAATTAATGTGATGAAATATAGTATCAACAAAAGAATTAAAAACAGTTTTTATATTCATAATATATTTTTATGGTATTTTTTTTTGTTTATGAAGTGCGTTTATGTTGTTATTTGATTCGTATATGATAGGCAACCTTCTATTTTTTTGCTGTCAAAATAAATCGATAATTAGACAGTAATATCGTATTTTTTTGATAATGACAATTTTCGGGATGATTACTAGTCCCTTTGAAATGTTTCAATGATGCGTAAATATCTTGTTTTTTTTATTTGGCCTTGAGTTAAAAATGTGTATTGTATTTTATCAACCTTAATAAGATATCAGATTGTGATAATTCATCGAATTTTAACTTTTTTTGTGTCTCATAAACACTAGTTACAAAAAAATATCTTTTTCTTCTCCACATGATATGAATCGTCAATAATTGAGTTATTGAAGAATAGTGATGATTTCTCATTAATTTTCGTTAAACAATTTCATGATGATTTCTTCATTTTTCAATAGAATTTAGTGTTGAGAATATATGTAAATTATCATAAAATGATAAATAAAGAGAATAAAAATACAGTCATGATTAATTATATTGAATTATGATATTATTTCAGTATATCAATGATGTTGAAATATAACATTAGTAAATGTAAAAAACTAGAATATATAACTGTTAAGAAACTATTTTATATTTTTGTCGATAGAAAAAAGTAAATATATTCAGTTAAACTGAATAATGAGAATATTAACTACTAAAATAGAAAAATAATAGTAGATAAAAATTTTGTCGAATATTCGTTTACTAAACAAAGACATAAATTTTGATATCATATAATAACAAATAAGTGATATTTTCTAGATGAATCAAAATTCATTGTATATTAATATGGTAAACAAGATTAATACAATTCTATCGAAATTGATAATACTCAATGAACTTATGTGATTTCTTTACTTTTTACGAAGGTTATCTTTTAAGTCATGTGGTATCTATATTTGTACTTGTATTGCTTTTTTAATGATATAATAGCTTATGTAACATAGAGATAACTCGGGATTTTTTACCAATTGTAATTCAAAACCATACATTGAAAAAGAACACATATATAAAGAAATGTATTCATTTGTATTTTTTTGCTATTCATGTTGGTGAATATGTTTCGTTGTATTGTTTTAATATGTTCTTTTATCATGATTATTCATGGTTCAAAAATGAGCAAAACAGGTATCTATTTCTTTATTGAAAATAAGTAAATTAATTTGTTTTTATTTTTAGAAATCAAAGCTTGTTATGAAAAATCCAAAACTTTAGAAACAGGTTGTGATTTTATTAAATGTTTTCATGAACGTTATCGTTGTAATGATGAAAGTGTAACAGCATGGGCACATGAATTATGTCAACAATTTCCTAAAGATATTGTTTTACAATTTACACCACAAGTAAAATATTCTGTTTTTTTTTTCTCATTATATTTTTGACTTTATTTATATATATAAGGGAAGACAAATGATGATCAATGTACAAAATTGTACACAAGATTTCCTAGCTCGAACATATAATCAACGAAAATCTATCAATTGTAATGCATTCGAATCAAAATATTTTTCAACTTTAGCAAAATGTTATTCAAAGGCAAATGATTTTTGTCAAGTTTTTAAAGATAATAGAGCGTTATTTATGAAACAAGCAACAACAGTTATGCTAAAAAAACCACGGTAAATTTATTTTTATCAAAAACATAGTCAAGATGACAATAAAAATAATATTTTTCTTATCGGTTAAATCTAATATGTTTTCAAATCATGTATAAGTTACATAACAGAAACCACATTTCTTATCGTATGAAAATTGATCTCCTACCTTTCATATCTTTTATAAGTGAGAAAACATAACCAAGAAAATCTTAAGTAGAAGACATAGATTTATGAGAAATAAATCGCGAATTAAATATGTTATTTTTATCGATCAAATATTCGTTTTCTGTTGTGGTTACGTGGCAAAAAGTACTAAAATGATTATTCATGACTTTCGTAAGAAAGTACACAATTGATTCATCCTATGTCTCATTAGTTGATGATCTTAGTTTCCTTCTATTTCTAGTCACAAAACTTATAGGCATTTATTTTCGAATATGCGGTACATAATATCTAATAAAAAAACTCTTAATGGAAACTATAATTTATCTCATAAGTTCTATATTAGTCATAAAATTTTGTCATATGCCCAACAAAAAATGTCCTACCATTTGTCATGTATGTTTCTGTCCTTTTTACAGTCAAAACTAATGATATGTCAAGTTCTTTTCAGCTGTAAAAACTACTTTTGACTATGTCTTAATATTTTTTAGATAGAAATAATTGACATTTATATATGTATATATGATTCTATTTTAGAGCATTACAAGCCTTCGCAATTGCTGCAAAAAATTGTACACGTATGATTACTGTCGAATAAAAAAACAATAAATATATTGATCTTTTTTTTTTCTTCAATATATAAACAAATAATACAAAACACGAAAATTAAAATAATATAAGCAAAGAAAACGTTTTTTCCATATCCATAAAAATGATAAGAATATATTTGAAATATAATATGAGAAAACTTACACACATGAAACAAGCATATGTGTATGACTAGATGTCATTTGGAAGAACAAAATCATTTATTCAATATCATATTATTATTATTTATTTTTATCCAAAAAATGTATCCCAATGAGATTTTTTCCCATATGTATAGATGGGTCGATTTTGTCGTTTAGTTGAACGTCGATCAGGAAATAGAAAGAAACCACGTTTCGATAATGGTTTATCATCATCATCATCGGTACTACTTGATGATAATTCATCACTATTATTCACATTATCGTCATTATTTGCTTGTTGATTTTGCAGAGATATTAATAATTTAAGATATTGTTCAAAAGAAAGTTCTTTTGCATTTTGTTCATTTGTCGTATCAAGTTCAACATCCGACTGTCTTTGATCAGTATATCGAGTTTGTACTAAGAGATAAAATATTAATTATAGAATTTATTTCACTTTTCGTTATGCTTACCAAATAACACATTCAAAATAAGTATACATAAGGCGAAGAATAGAGTAGCTTGCATTGCTATTGAATATAAAAATCAGAAGGAATAGTGTCAAAAACAATTTGATTCGAATCTATATAGCAAATATTTATACGAAGGTGTTGTAAGTTTGTATGAGTAAGAAAAGAAAATGTAAATGTCATTTAATGGTAATGGTTAAAAAAAATGTTCTTTTTTTCTTCTACCTATTTTTATGAATCATCTCGAAAAAAAAACGAACATTTAATGGAAATGGATGCCATTACTATCACATCTTCTCACCTTCTTATACAGAACACTATAAGCGGTAAGAAAAAAATAACAAGAGAAGTTTTATCAGGACAAATTTTTCTGTGTGTAGATTGTAGGATTACACGCTTTACAAGACTATATACTCTTGAAAGAAATTCAGATGATTTTAAACATGAATATTATATTCAGTTAACTAATAAATAGGATATTGACAGAATGAAGTTATTGATTTATGAAGGCGTATTTATATATGATCATAAATTCTAATGTTGAGAAACAATAAAAAAGACGACAAAATGAATGGCGAATACATCAACATGACTACTATTTGTATAATGGATGATAATACACCCACGTAGACACACATCTGAGAGGAAACTAATGACCACAAAACACCCACAGTCCTTAGTTACATTTTCTTTCTTTTTACTCTCGTTAAATTTCGATTACTTACCAATGTCTTTCTATGATTTATTTCTCCACTAATTATATTTATTGTTGACGTCATCTTTTTTTTTGAAGAAACTTTAAAAAAATAATTGTGTAATAAATAAAATATATGTTATGTTTTTTTCTGTTGTTGCGTATGTCAATAAGAATATATTTTTTGAAAATGATTAAAAGGATCATAAAATAAAATACATCTGTACATATTGAGATGAAATAGATAAGTTATGAAATCAAAAAAAAAGCGAAAACAAACACACACACACATAAACAGATTAATTCATCATTCTATTTTCCAGAATTATTGCTAAGAAAAACAATATATATATATATATGTATATTATTTAATAAAATGACTAGAAGAGACAAAAAAAAATGACGAGGAAGACAACAAAACGAAAATCAACATCATTATCACTGATATTTTGTTAGAACAAAACGAGATTCATTCTTATTAAGGTTGTTGTTCGTTTGCGGCTGCCAAATATGAGAATACACATAGAACAGCATAACAAATACGATCAGCCTAAAATTCATTTAGCACATTTTTTTTCGTAATACATAAAAATCTTTCATATTATAAATAGATAAATCCATCACCAAAATACCGAATTTATTGCGCATATTTTCCATTGACCAAACACAATTTTTGACGTTCAAAAGCAACAGAAATAATACGATGAAAAGCAAACAAAATTCTATTTGCCTACATAACATATAAGACAAAAAAATACAACATCAAAATAAATAATAACTAATCCATCACATTTATATACAACATTAAGCAGTAAAATTTGACTTACCAGTGAAGATTTATATTTTCTAATATGAATTTGTTTTGTAGTTGGATCTATCAAGCAAAGAGAAATAAAGACAAAACGAATAGAATTTAATTTATCTTACCAAATTCTTCTAAAACAAATATATCGCCTTTTTGTGTTGTACATTTACGAATTTTTTGTAATTCAATAAATTCCTTGTAAGAAAAGAAATCATTGGTTATCGATGAAATAAAAAATAATTTTAATTAAATACTTTATCATGTTCAAATGTTAAACAAATGCCTTCGAGACAAACTCGTAGAAGTCCACCTTCATTCGTATTTACGTCTTTAATTGGAAATTCTCCGCCAATTTCTTGATCTTTAAACGAAAATATACATATATTTGAAAAGTAATGATTTGTTTTCTTACCGGGTAATGTTCCTTTCATTCGAGAGGCTGCTTTTTCCATTGCTTCTTTTATTGAAAAATATAAATCTCGACACTTAAATAAAAGAAAAAGATCTTCATATATAAAACAAAAATAAAGATTATTCTTTACCCGTTTTGTATAAAATTTTATCAGTTGCGTTTCACCTTCGACTTTTCTCCATAGACAAAGTACTCTGGTTTTTGGAGAAAATGTCATATTAATAACTTTTTCAAACCAACATCGATCATAAACTTCACCAAGTACACTTCGAAGAATAAGACAATCATCCCATACCTAATTTTAAGTTACATATACATATCAAAAAAATGATCTTGCTTTCAATTTACCTCCATAAATAACATATCACCAGTATTATCTGTTCCCCAATGAACAGTAAAACTTTGTTTTTGTAACAGACGACTACCTACTGGTCTTAAATCAATATCATTACCATTCTAAAAACAAAAAATACATTGAAGATAAGAATTGAGTATTTTTTATTTCTTACTAAATTAGATATATTATCAATTAGTTCATTAACTTGTTGACTCATTGTTAAACCAATATGACAACGAGCAAGCATTCGACGAATTTTTCGATGGATTTCTTCTCTACTAACACGCATCATGACCATAAATGCGATTAAATTATAAAGCATTACAGCTAATAAACGATCTTCATCTAATTCAAGACGTTTTCGATCGGAATCTGATAATGAATAATAACTACAAAAAAAATCGATTAATAAAATTTTCTATGTTTCATTTTTCATCCTTTACCGTTCCATCATTTCAGCTGGACCTTGATCAAGACCAATAATATCACGTTCTTGTGCAACAGCATCAAGAAAAACATCTTCCCATATTTGCATTTGATCCCATAAATGACTACGTGAACTATTAATAAGAACTTCAAATAAATATTGTTTATCATTGATTGATACAGTAATAGGTTCAGCTACTTGTACTAAAGTTCCATTTCGAAATCTAAATTTAATAATATAAGATAACGTTGTATTATACAGATATAAATACCTGTATCCAGCAGAGAATGAACTTTTAATTGTTGATGCCGTTGATAAACGTCTTATTTTTAATTTCTCATCATTCCATTGATTTGATGTTTGTCGAGAAATAGGATTTAATTTTGATTCACGTCGACTTGATGAAACAGAATCTGCTCCACTTTCTTCATCAGTTGTAATTGAACCAATACGTGAAATATTAATAAGAGTTTTTGGATTTTGCTAATAGAAAAAATTTATATAATATTAATTTATCTTTAATTCTATCAATAATACTTACGTTAATCGTTAAATTCAATGTATCAGGTCGATCTTGTTGATCTATTACTATTAAAAATATTTTACAAAACAATCAGAAAACAAAGTTTCATTTACTCGCTTGATTTGAATCATTAATATCAACAATGACAGGCGGTGATGTACCAGTAGAATCTAATGGAATTTCTATATTTTGATAATCATCTCCATTGACATCAACTGAATCTAAATAAATAATCAAAAATAATTCGATTAAAGCTTCTTTCTTTCAACAAAACATTAAAAAAAGAACAACACCTATAGGATAACGAGCAGAACAAGCAATGTGATATTCACAAAAGGAATTCAGAAGATTAAATATAGCAAGAACACAACATTAAGTACAATAATGTACCGGTTGATTGGTGGAAACTATTCATTATTGAATTGGGTTGTTTTGATGGTGATAATGGATCAGTAGGATTATCATTGGGTGGTAATGATGAATTATCAGTAATTGTTGAATAGAATGAATTTGTATATGATTCAACATTTGGTGCAAAAGCCATTGTTGCTTGTGTTGCAGTTGCATAACTACGTGCAAGTACTGATTTTGATTCACGCCAGAAACTTCCTGAAAAAAATATATTATTATTTTCATTTTTTTTGAAAAAATTCTTACCTAATTGTGAAACAAAACTCGCAGTTGGACTTATTAAATTATTTGGTAATATATTCGATGAAAAATTTGTTGGATTGGATGAAATATTTGGATCAACTGATGTTAAACTCTCTCGACTACCATTAAGTGGACTATTCCGTTCAGACATTGGACTTAAATCAGTTCGTATTGTCGTATCTTTCACCCAATAATGTGTATGAGCTATTTCAAGTAATTGAAATGTTGATGCCATACCACCAACACCATTATTTTCAAATGTTGCTTCAAGTCCTTGTATAACTGCTCGTAAAATATATGTCATACCTTTAAATACTGCTCGACTGACTTTCTAAATTAATAAAATAACCTTTCAATATTTGTTTTCATTTCTTTTTCATAAGTATCTCTTCAGACTAACACTTGAGGAAAAATAAAGGAAGGAAATAATAACCTACCACATCTTCAATATGATCATCTTCATCTGAATATTTTTTATCCAAATTAATATTAAGTCTACTAAGAACAAAATTTCTATAGTTTTCATCTTCCATTAATTTTTTTACACGATTTATTTTTAACCATCCAATACCTAATCCATCAGTAACATTTGTAATAATTTCTTTTAAAAATTGTTGATTATCACTATGAGTATTCGCTTTTGTTTCAACACTTTGTTGTCGAAGAAAATCTCGTTGTCGATTTGCCATAATTGTATTAAAATTCTGTATACCATGTTTCATTAAAGTTGATTTTTCTATTTTACGATTTTGTTTTGAAAATGGAAATGGTGGTGTTGGTCGATTAGAAGATGCTATTCAAAATTAAATAGATTTTCGATTGTGATAAAATATCTACATACGTAATAATTCCGAAGTTCGATTTGTTGTTATTTTTGATATAGTACAAAGAGATTTATCAGTCATAGATGAATTATTTTCATTATTAACTTGTTCCATTAATAGATTATTTTCTAGATCAAAACTTTTCTGTAGTAAAATATTTGATAGAACTTTACGACGATGTCCTATAGGTGATGATTGTGCAGATTTTGTTTCAGTTTGAGATGTTCTTCTTTCAAAAAGTGGTCTTGAAAAAAGCAAAAAATTATATAGAGAAAGATAAGTATATTGATTTACTTTGGAAAATTTTTTGTAATAGGTGTTATTGTAGTTGAACTTGATACTGAATCAATTTCATGGATTGTTTCTGATAAATTACCTATATACATATTTCTATTTTCTTCAGTAGGTGAATGAAATGTTGAATTTGAATTTGAACTTATGGTTGATTCACTCATTGATTGATTAGCTTCAATGATATGAGTATTTTTATTCATATTTTCAGGTATTTGTAATTCGTCTGGTGGATTATAAATACTTGCATATTCAACATAAGCTGTTTTTTCTTGATTTTCTGGATAAAGTCTATTTTCTAAATATATATTTTTTAATGAAAAACACTTTTCTTTATTTCTGAAATAATTCTACCTCGAATTTCTCCACATATGTCACTATTACGCATTTCAGTGACGAAATCACTCAATGATGAATAACAAGAATTTAGACTATCTTCTTCTTCTTCTTCAGAATCACTTCCACTTTCATCTAACAATTAAAAATATAGTTTTTTTATGATTATATATGTATGATTTTTTAAAACAAACCTGTTGGAGTTTGTTCAGTATCATTAGATTTGGCTTTTAGAGACATAACTGCTTGACCAAGTGTACTATTTTCATCGATTATGTTAAAAGATATTGCTGTTAAACTTCGACTATACCATTTTGGTTTATCACCAATTAAAGCTGGATCATATATACCTGTTTGTATACGTAAAAATGTAACATTCTCTGGGCAAAGTGACCATTCTGCAAAGAATTCCACTGCCTAAATAAATTTATAATTTTCTTATTGAAAAATTTTGTTTTTTTTTCTCTACTTGAGTTTTAGCTAATCGAACAATAAATGCTGATTTAACTGGTCTTGATCGTATAAAACTAGTATATTGAAAAGCAACAACAGCACGTGGATGTAATTTTAATGTTCTTGTATGTTCATTAAAACTTCCAAGTATATTTGGTGAATGAAAAAATCTCACCATAGCTACTCTTGCAGCAACATCAACTGAATCAATATCATTACCATATACAAATGAATTTTCTGTTTTTAATGCTAGAAGTTTTTCATTATTCATATGAGATTTATCATCTAATATTGTATCGAAATTTTGATTTGGTTCAATATCTGCTGACATACTACCTAATGCTTGTTTTAAATGATTACTTAAGATATTATATTCATATTCTGGAATGTCAAAACATGGTTCAGCATGACGTGGTGATATAATCTAGTTTATTATTAATATAATTAGTTTTGATAGCAAAAGAAAAAAAGGTAAACGAACTTGATTTGTATCGAGATTAACAATCCATATGTCATCAAATCTTTTCGATCCCATTCCTTTATAAGGAAAAAAACTTGCTGGTACACCAATTATAAATGGAGTTGGAATAAGTAAAAGCTATAAATAAATTAAAAATATTGTTTTAGACAAAATATATTTATTTACCTGTTCAGCACCAGTCATACATGTTGGTAATAATGGAATGACAGGAAACATATATTCAAGTGGATATAGTAATGCAACAAATGCTAAAATACTCATTGTTAATGCATTATAATCTCTTGATTGAAAAACAACCTAAATATTTATTCTAAAAATATTTTTAGAATAAAAAAACAAAAGTTTTTACTTTGCTTTCAAGCATAATTAATGTTAATACACGTATACATAAATCAACTCCTAATAGTTCAAGTGGTAAATGAAGAGGAAAATCGACTAGTGAAAATCTTGTATGATCCGGTAAAGCAAATAACATTGGTGGTTCATTAGGAAGCGTTTCAATCTACAGGAAAAAAGAAAAAGAAATGAATAAAAATCTATTCTTTTGAATTCATACTAAAATTTTTGTTTTGCCTGGAATTGATACAGGTGCACTTAATAATCGTAATATCCATATTTCAATTTCTCGAAGTTCACGAGCAACTAAATTTGATGTATTGTCGCATGCCTGACCTGTTAAAATATTCCAGACAGTTTCTCTAAAAATGAATAAAATTATTTTATTTTGATAATTATAGGAGAGACTATTGAATTTAACCTTGACATTCCTCGTGATGCACCAGTACGTTTTGCGCATGAACGTTCATTACAAGCATCAATAATAGTTTTTAACGTAATAAGACATTCACGAAAACGTGTAAAAAAAGGATGATGACTGATAAGACATATAGATGTTAATGTATTATTTCTTAAACGTTTTTTACGTTTACGTTCAAGATTTTCCGATCCATCAATTCCTATCTGATCATTTTTTATTGTTGACTGATTAGTTGTACTAACATTTTCATCAGATGAATCAATACGATCTGATTTTGGTTGATTATGATTATGAATTGAGCATCGACGTCGAGAAAAATGACGATAAAAATTAATACATATACCAAAACGTTGTCGATTTGAATCTTTTTCAGTTAATGTAAATACAAATGATGTTACTTGTTGTAAGCCTGTACGTTGATGACCAATATTAATACAACCTTCTGGTTGACAAAAGAATATAACATCAGGTGGTAGAGCAAAATCTTTATGATCTTCTAATGGATAACGACGAAGTAATTCAGGAGTTTGTGTTACATGATTAAATTTATTTGGATGACGACAACCAACTATAATCACATAATCAACAAGACGTGGAGAAAAATATCGTTTGGTTTGTTCACACATAATATCTTATAATATTTATCATCACATCTAGAAATAAGAATATATAATTGATATATCTATGCTAAAAATATTTACTTAGTACAGTAGAATACAACTACAAGGACGAAAAAAAAGAATACTTTGACCGGCAGTAATAGCCGTAAAAATTTGTCGAGCTTTTTTTTTTTGTTTTGGTCTTATTCCTAAAAAAGATACGAATGATTTGATGGTTGGCGACAGGCGCTAACACACTGATGGTTGTCTGTGCTCTCGGCGCACATCAAAAAGGACATGGAAAGAAGAAACGACATTATGTTGCACAAAAGAATAGAAAACAAATCAAGAAAAAGTAGACGAGCAAAGAAAAACTAGTAAGAAGAAAAACGAGATGATTGCTATTTTCAACAATAGTAATTGTGAAATAATTTGATGAGAATAATTAATAATAAGAAATAATCATACTTTGTTGGCATCATATTCATATACATCATTTATATGAAAATATTCTGTTTTTTTCTTCTCCTTCTTGGCTATATTTGTCATTACTCTTAATCAATAAAAAACAAAATATTCTCTTCTCTTCTAATTAAAAACAAAGACAAAAGATTATATATTTTTTTTTTCTTGTTATGTTATTTTTCTTTATGTAAATACAATAAAACTGCTTTACTACTACGCATACAAATGTTTATTAATGTTTTTTTTTTAAATCTTCTCTAATATCGAACACCATGACCAGATTCATCATTTTTTTCAAATGAATAATGCACTACACCAGGCTCAGGTTTTCGTGCGGGAAAAGTTGGTGTCATCAATTCCATTGAACGAAAACCATATGCAGCTAATATTAATGTAATAGGTATAATCAATAATTTTAATAATTCTTTTGTTAATCCTGGTTGTTTCTCTTCTACATGTTGAATACGTGCTTTATCATATTTAACATGATCGCCTGGATGTCGTGGTTCATTCCAATTTTGTCTCTCCGATGGATAATCATAATCTTCCCATGGACTACGATCAGCATATGCTCCAGCGGGTGCAACATTAGGCATATCACCAGCATTATATTCAGGTGGATATGGTTTATAATCTTCTGGCAACATATTATATTTTTTTGCTGTAGCAGCACGATCTTCAGGTGTTACAGGAACTTCTTCTTTGGGACGCCAGTCACGATTATTAAGTGCTGTACGAATAGATGTTTGTATTGGCAAACGATGTGCTACTAAAGCACTTCGTTTTGATAAACCTATTAAATGATTCATATCTGAAGAAGAATCAATTTTTTTTATTTAGTTTTCACAAAAAATTAAATTATTTATTATAAACGTAACGTTATTTTTTTTAAAAAAAAGGAGTAAAAAAAAAGTGAATTCGTATCTCGAATAAAATAAATTGTTCCTTAGAATTTTCATGGCATCGAAAATTTGTCGACAATGATCTATTTGATTAGCGACCATATTTTTGAAATTCCCATTCACGATTATCTAATGGACATACTTGACGTGTTTTTAACCATCGTGATATACAATGAAAGTGAAAAGCCTAGATATAATATAAGAAACATATACATGATTTTTAGTCCACATAAATTAATTCAATATAGAATATAAAACTTCTCTTCCGCTATTTTTATATCTAATCCACACATACTTACATGATTACATACGCCCCAAGCAACTGTGCATTCTTCATTTGTTGCTCCTCCTTGATTTGCTTGGCATTCAATGCAAAGATCCATAATATGATTTCGACATATAGCACAGTTGTCAACAACTATATCCCATGCCCATAGTGTAACTGCATTCCATTTTTTAACTTCAAATCTTTTTTTGTCTGTAGTAGTAGTTGATGATGTTGTTGCCTCGCGTGGTGTGTCTGTTTCCATTTCTACGAGTTCGGCCATTTAATTTGTATATCAAAGAAATATAGTCGTGAACGATAAATATCTCAAAAAAACAAAAATATGGATTTATGTAAGTATTTTTCATCATCAAAAAAAGAAATCAATATTTTATAAGCATTATAAAATCATGTTTTTTTGCTTATTAAACTCGTTTACTATGATCGAAAAATTATTTATATTTATCAAAATATTGAGTAACTAAGAAACATGAAAAATTTCCCATGGAAATTTCACAATATGAGTAGATTCGTTTTAAATATAGTTAATAGAAAAAGCCAACAAAATAAATAAACATAAACATGATAACAACACATATGCAAAAAAGGAATAGTTACTATTCGTCTATTTGTAACCAATGAAAATAAGACGAAAGGAAAGAAAAATAATCAAGAAGCTCACTAATTTCTCTATTCACTGCAGGTTATCCGTCTATATATATATATATTATATATATATTTAGTTTCTTTTTTGTATTCATAAATCTAGCAGTGGAGGATAAGAATAGTGACTGTAATATTTGTATTAGAAATGGCTACAAATACGAACAAGAATAATAGTCGAATTGCCTTAATTACAAGTGGTATTAAAGGAATTGGTTTTGAAGTGGCACATCAATTGGCTAATAAAGGTATTGAAGTACTAATTGGTTCTCGAGATGAAATAAAAGGTGAATTAGCTGCGCAAAAACTTGCTTCCGAAAATCTTCCAGTTACTTATATACAAATTGATGTTACTAATCAAGCAACCATTGATCTTGCTGTTACGGAAGTTGCAAATGCATATGGTCGTCTCGATATTCTCATTAATAATAGTGGTATCTATTTAAATGAACCACGTCCAAATGAATTATCATTAGATATGATTCGACAAAATTTTGAAGTAAATTTTTTTGGTGCATTTGCTATTACAAATGCTTTTTTACCGTTACTTCGTCAATCATCATCTGCATGTATTGTTAATATTTCAAGTTCTTTAGGTTCATTTCAATTTCATGAAAAAAGTAAGGATCATCATTTTCATTGTGCATATAGTGCATCAAAAGCGTCGCTTAATATGTTAACACTTCAACTGGCTAGAGATTTACATGAAACAAAAATAAAAGTGAATGCATGTACATCTGATTTACCAACTATGACATTATCAAATAATCATGGTCATTCAATTGAAAATGCTGCTAAATCAATTGTTTTCCTAGCAACATTATCTGATGATGGACCAACTGGTAAAATTTTTGGATTAGATTGTGAAGAAAGTGAATGGTAGATAAAAATTGTTTAATTATGTTCAAAATTTTCTATATGTCAAATTAGTATTCTAGTCAATTTTAAGTACTATATCTCATTCCATTTGTAGGACTAATTTAAGTCAAATATTTAGTTTTGTATAAATGTTGTTTAAATTTAAAGAATATTTTAGATAGTTATTTTTTCTTTCCTCTATAATCATATATATGGCACAAAAAGTAGCTATTGTAAGTATTTGATTCTTTTTCTGACAGCATGAGAAAATTATTTCTTTCAAAGGTAACTGGATCTAATAAAGGTATTGGTTATGGAATTGTGAATAAACTTTGTTCGATTTTTGATGGAGTTATATATTTAACTGGTGAGTAAATTTTCTTATCTTATAATTAACTTTTCATTTGATTACTGTTGTCACACAATGATTGTTGAGTACAAAGAAAAAGGATCAAGAATATTCTGTTTCTTTTGTTCGTACTCGTCATGTCAAAAAAAGTGTCATCAACTGAATAAGATTCTAGAAATTGACATAACAATTACAGTTTCAGACAGAAAGTTTAAATAGATGTGACAGATTCGTATATGATACATTCAATTACTAATATATGAATAATAATAAAAAAAACTTATGTTCGAATTGAAATTTTTTATAGTGAATAAATCCTATTGACGTAATTATTATCGAGAAATAATATATCAAGATATATGATTCTAAATGAAACGATCGTATAAATAATTGATGAAATACGTTCATGATGAATAATCTTCATGTTACTTGATACTTAAGGCAAAACAAATATGATTTTTTTTAAGTGTATATTATTTAAAAAGATCTTTTTTTAGATACTATTTTATATAAATTATTTTTTCTACTTAATATTTTCCTTATCATATTAATTACATTTTATGCTTTCGCATCAAAAATTATTTTACTACATTCTAAATTTAGTTCCGGGATTTACGGTTTAGTGTGAAAAGATTTTTTTAACCTTGAATGACACCGAAGAATTTATTTTGTTTTTAGCACGTAGTGAAGAACTTGGTTTGAAAGCGGTTCAACAGTTACAAGAAACAAATAAAGATGCTCGAGATAAAGTTCATTTTCATCAATTAGATATAACAAATGTTGAAAGTATTCGACGATTAGCTGATCATATTAAAAAAAATCATGGTGGTTTAGATATTCTTATAAATAATGCCGGTATGGCATTTAAAGTAACGGAAAAAAATCGTATTTTTCAATATTTATTCTAAAGAATATTTTATATTAAGGTCAATGATATTACACCCTTTGGAGATCAAGCGGAAATAACAGCTCAAACAAATTTTTTCGGTACAATTAATGTTTGTAATGCTTTATTTCCTCTATTACGAGATCATGCACGGTTAGTTAAACATTTTTTTATAAAAAAGAAAATAGCAGACTAATTTTGTTTTCTTTTTCAGAGTTGTTAACGTATCAAGTCGGGCTGGTATGCTTGAATCAGTAAAAAATAATGAAATACGTCATAATTTAATATCACCAAATGCAACCATTGAAACTGTTTCTGATATTCTTAGTGATTTTATCAAGTAAAGAATATAAAATAAAGTTTAATCTTTTCTATATCGAAAAACTTTTTATTTTAGAAATGCAAAACAAAATTCGCATCAAGATAATGGTTACCCAAATAGTGCATATGGAATGAGTAAAGTTGCATTGACAGCTGCAACTCTCATACAACAACGTTTCTTCGATGAAAAATCTACTAAAGATATTATTGTTAATGCTTGTTGTCCTGGTTATATTAATACTGATATGACAGCGAATAAAGGACCTGGAACAGTTGAACAAGGCGCCGATACACCTGTTTATTTAGCAACATTAGAACCAAATGCAAAATCACCACGAGGAGAATTTGTTGCTGAAAGAAAAATTCTCAAATGGAAATGTTAAATATGAATTTTTCTTCGTAGACATAAACGTAAATTTGACTATGATTATAGTTTTTATGGTGCATTGGATTACATATGCCTGATTTCTATCCTTGAAATGCTCTTAAATTAGTGATGTTTCGATTTTTCTTTAGTATTCTATTTCTCCATTTTTGAATATAATACATGTTCGCATTTTTTTTTCTATGAAACAAAAAACAAAAATAAATCTTTTGGGAATTCAATTTGTCGGAGAGTCCGTAATATTTATATAGATGTGTAGATGGGAATTTTATTTGTGCATTTTTCTTTTTCGTCACTTTATCAATTGTGGATAAATCTATAGAGATTTTCTTTATTCATCATACAATTCAACAATGGTTGTGCCTATAGGCGTAGACATATTTATTTTATTGTGGGTAATATCGTGTATATTAATTTCTATTTTTATTATTACGGCGCTTCACTTTCGTTTATCAAAAGAAAATAATAATTCTAAAAAGAATTATACTGCATTATTGATTAATTCCAAACAAATAATTGAAATGAAAATTCCAATAAATGAATACAAAGAAAAATTAATTGATCAATATTCAATAGCAACTGAAACAGAAACATTACATACGTCTAATGAAACAAATGAAGATTATTATCAATCGATTTTATCGAAAAATGATATTCCATATTTTCCAGTTCGTGAAATAAATTTTCAAAAATATTCGAGATCTATATGTCAAATGATTACAGATATTAAAAAAGGAAGTTATTCAAATAAAAATGAAATGAAATTTATTTAATTTTAGTAAGACACATCACAACAACAAAAAATAAGATTGGAATACTTATTTCAATTAACTAAGTGCTGTATTTTAGTGCTTCTTAATAAAATAATATTTATGTCAATTCTTGTTTCTACAAAACTTAAAAAAAAAGAAATTAGTAGAATGGAAAGAAAACCTTTCTCTTTGTGATATGAGAAATAAACAATAAATTTTACAAGAAAAAACGTTTACATAATGAGAATATAAGATCTCGACACTGCTTTTTCCTTTGTACTTTTTGAAAGAAAAATTTCAACTGATGCACAGTGTACTCGGTAACCTGTTTGAAATGAACAATAAAACTTTCATAACTCAGTAATAGTATGAAAAAGAGAGTCGAAATTTTGTGTGGGTGTGAGGAGCTTAGGGACTAGTATCATATAAAAAAAGTGTCCAAATCGGTCTTGCAGAAAAAAATGATTGCGAAATACAGCTAAAATCATAATCGTACCAAAAAGTTGCAATTGACTTATATATTCTATATGATAATTTAAAATAATCTTTATTTATCAATTATATTTAACAAAATAAGAATATTTTCTTTATATTATTTCGATTTTCAATGAAATACTATTTTATAAATCTCAATGTTAATGAAATTCAAATTATCTTTATGTTAAATATAATGAATACTTGTTATTATTCTTATGAAACATTTATCATTTGATTAGTAATACATGACCATCTGTTTAACGTTTGACATTAGAAATATAATTTTTGTGAATTTAAGGCATGCATTATAGGACTCATAACATTTTTTTTCATAAATAGAGAAACAAGTTTTTATTAATTTATTCAACTCTGACTTCGGCAAAAAGTCTCAGAACTGTTATTGCAAAGGTCTACACCGAATGCGTCACCGTTAGATAGATAATCCTACTTCTGAAAAATAAGAATTCGAATATTAATAAACAAACAAGAATATAAATGACACGGTTTATTTATAACATCAAAAACGTTGTTTCTGTGCTCGAATAATATACAATAAAACGACATTTATATATACAGAAAAATTCGACTAAAATAAATAGTAATTTGATGACAGAAAAAGAATAACTTTTATAGAACATAATAAGATCAATGTCATCTTATAAACGAAATTTGAAGATAAATTAAACAATAGATTCTGAATGTTGTTGAATTGGAATCCCATTTATCATCATCTTCAATTTATAGAAGAATTGGTTTATCAACCATCTATTCATGACAATAGAGGAACCATTACATTTGGTGAGTTTTTTAAGTTCTTGTTGACGACGACGATGATAAATAAGAGTATATATACCAATAATAAAAATATTTATCATTTCCGCACACAATACTAGACTAACACCAAATAAAAATAACGCAGGTCCGATGGAGGAATATATAGTCTAAA